GAGAAAATAGGAAGTGATAGGAACCAGCTGGGTAGCACTCAAACAAAAACTCACTGCCATCAAGTCAATTCCCACTCAGAGCAACCCCCACTGAGTTTCCAAGGCTATAAATTTGTATGGAAGCAGACTGCCTCATCGTTCTTCTATGGAGCAGCTGGTGGGTTTGAACTACTGACTTTTAGGTTAGCAACCAAATACTTGAACCACTACACCACCAGCATTCCTTCTGGATAGCACTACTCCTTTCTAAAGGAAAGCTACTCAACTGTGGTCAATTACAGCCTCACAAGAATGGAGGGCTACTATTGCAGAATCTTTTTTAAAGAGAACTAAAAAAAATTAGGTTTTGTTATTTGGCTTCTCTTGCTGAGAAATTATCATATAAATAAATCATTATGTCCATAAATTAGAGATCACAACCTTTCATATTCTGCAGTAGCCTTTTCTCATAGATTCTGGGTCACAAATTTAGTTCACAGCCATTTCCTAGGGAAGTGAAACAATAAATACTTGTGAGCCACTATGAACTAGATTGCACTTTCTGGACTCTCCTGGACACATGGATCATGATTACCACCCACCTGAAAACACACACTGGACCAAGAAACTAATCATGTCCCCAGCGTGGGTCATCAAATTCTCAGACCAACTACTTGGCCCTAGATCTGCACGATACACTTTTTCCCAGTTTCATTTCTCTTTACTCCAGTGAAAACATCTGCTTTCGCCAAACAAACTGCCTGTTTGTATCATCTCACCCTTGTACTTGTATCATTCCCTTTTTCTTTCAAATAATATTACTAGACATTAATGCTTTGTTCTTTCTCAGCATTAGTCTATACAACATCATGATAAACAGAGAATATACTGATTTGTCATGGAATTCATTTTACTTAGATCCACAATCTACAGCCATGGAAGGAGGAGTCAAGAAATCAAATGACATTATTGCACTGGGCAAGGAGCTCTGGTGGCACAGTGGTTAAAGCATTCAGCTGCTAACCAAAAGGTCAGTGGTTCAAACTCACCAGCTGTTAGTGAAAGATGTGGCAGTCTACTTCCATAAAGATTTATAGCCTTGAAAAC